GGGGTAAGGACAGCTTTTACATTGAAGTTAGTGTTCTGACAGAGAAATCATGGTGTGTGTTGTTGATGATCATTGGATTTATGTGTTCTCTGTTTCTGCATTTTGTGATACTTTAATTAGATGAATATGGATCTCAAATAAATTGAGTTGCATTTCTACCTCTGTTCTATAAACTCGTATTGCTTAGATTTCTTGGGGATGGGTGGGGAGGGAGTAGCATTTAAGATGTGAGAGTATTCCATGTCTGTTTTCTGATACTTGTTACATGCACGTGTATCTCAAATAAATTGAGTTGCATTTCTGTCTCACTTGGTGGAACTTACCTCCACCAGCAGTCCAGCACTATATAAAAAAGATAAATGAGAAGGAGTTAAACCTTGTTATCTATCCTTCATTGTTCCAACTGTGACTTCTGATGTTTGAATTCTCTACAGGTTATTGGGAGCATGCACTCTGTCCAGGATGCTTTGTTCCAAATTACTTGTAGGCTTCGTGATACAATGTTTCCTATGAAGCCGCATATTTCAAATATTGCCCCTTCGCATTTTCCCTCCTATTCTGAAATTCCATCCCCATCATTCAGGCCAAGGCACGATCCTGCTTCTCCTAGTTACCGCTCACCTGCTGGCTACCCTCATGGTATGGAACATACTGGTATTTCATCCAAACTCTATGAACTACTGGCTGCATTTTCACATTATTTAGACCATAATGTTTATTCAGATCGTGCTCCCCATTTCCATGGCTATGAAAGACAAGGACATGTTCCATTTTTTGATAGACCTCCTTCACCTGGAAGATGGGGTCCTCAGGTTTGTGGGAGCTCTTTCCAGTAAATATAAATTATTGACACCTTTTTAATGATTGGGGAATGTTGCATTTCCGACTATTCACTTTCCTTCTTGCTGTTTTATCCAGGCAGTCAATTCTAGATATACAGCTGGAGTGGCTGATTTAAGTGGAGGCTTTGCCTTGAAGAATGGCCACAGTGGCAGGTAACTTGTTTTCCTCNATGGCAGGTAACTTGTTTTCCTCTGTCTGCAACAATGTCTTAGGTTGCTTATGAAATTGTGATCACTGCTAATAACTTGAAGCGATCCATTGAATCTCCCAGGGGAGTGCTGGGTTGGATGCACTAAAGGGGCTACTGGTTTCCCTGTTAGTGCAGGACTCACCGGTTTCTGATTCACTTGGGTAAAATTGTTTCCTTTTGGGGCTATAGTTTGGTTTTCCTTGTGCAACTTTAAGTGGAGAGCTGTGGGCAATTAGTTGGTAGCGGCTTGATTAATTTTGTTGCAGGCTACAGTGATGAAGCTATTACGGCCTAATAAATGATATTCAGCTGCTAAGAGGAATTTAAAGGCTATTTAGAATGAACTCAATTCACTGTTAATCCATTTTGTCGGGAAAGTTATGTCTTTGTATGCACAACATAGACAAGCCATGTAAAAGAACATGCTTCCTTATGGAAGTACGAAAAGAGGCTATCTTAAAAAATATAGGGTAGAGGATATGCTATTGTAGTCTTCAAATTTCTCTTAACCTGGGGTTTGGCAGCTGGACGTTTACAGAAAATTGGTCAAACATGAGTATGTAGCTCCGCCTTTTGAGCTGGATGAGGGCAGATTTGTTAAGTCGTTCAGCTTCCTGTAATTTGCATTTGTCTATAAAATGCAAAGTTCTTATAAACAGGATTGCTAGATAGAGACGTAGATTACATGATGAGATAGTATTTCCTTTACTGAGGTGTGAACCCCTTCTCTCTTGTAAGAAGAGTATCCACATAAACTTCCAAGGCAAGTCAATAGAATCACTGCAGAGCTCACGAGTCACCTGCTTTAAAATTTGAGTTGTAAAGTTTGTGGTGGAGATATTGAGGTCTTTAATTAAATGTTAAACTTGACAGTAGTATAAAGATAAGTCTGTTGGAGATACTTGAGGTGTTCAATTCATTGTTAATGAATGAAAGAGAAAGGAGTGTAGAATCTGAACATTTGACTTGGAAGTTCATAGATCTACACTTCTTTTATTTTTCTTGGTTGATTTCGATTGTTGTTTAGTTTGCTATTCGTCGTATCCGTTTCATATCTTGCCATCGGTTTGCATATCCACTATATTAAACTCTTTTTGCAGTGAGACGGCAACACCTAATTTGGCAGGCATTGTTATTGAAGTTGTAATTCCTCAGATGTTGTTAAAACACGTGTATGGAGAGGATTCTAGCAACCTTAGTGATATAGCAAGGGTAGGTCAGTTTGCTCGTGGAAGCTTTGTTTCTCTTCTTGGATAAGGTAGTTAACATTTGTGTTTGGGATTCAGATTTCAGGTGCTAAGATAGTAGTTCATGATCCTGTAGCCAATTCTGCAGAAGGCACTGTTGTTGTGTCGGGGACACCAGATCAAGCACGAGCCGCTCAGAGCCTTATTCATGCCTTCATTTTATCTGAGCAGAATATGTAGAACTTCCTTCTTTATCATGTTACTAGAGGTAACCTATGTGGTGGTTTCTTTTTGTTTTTGTTTTTGTTTTTGTTTTTTAGGAGCGATATCAAGTACTTAACTCATGTTTCCTTTTTCAATTCAGTTGGCACGTATTTTTGATAGTAAAATAAGTGTAAACAATTGTCAGAAAAACATGTGGGAAAGACATAAGGTATGTGAGAATTATCACTCGAGGGGCTAAAGGAAAAAGCCTTAATGAAGTGGAAAGAAAGAGAATATAGAAAGAGATCCTTTGGGAGGGAAAAAAGTTAGTTGTCTTTTCCATCATATTTGGATATTGGAGTATTTTGGAGGCAAAATCTGTGCAAGTCTACATAGAAAACGACGAGCACATGAATTTATCAATTCATATGATTCTTGTAGCATGTGGAGTATTATCATGTGGGTCTATAAGAAAGACAAGACGTAGATGTACCCTTCTATTAGTTTTAAATCCTTGTGATTTCCTTTAACTAGATAAATAGGTAGTAAAAAATGTTGAGTGTATACATGTTGCTAACACTCTGTTGAGCGTCGAATTGCTTGGACACTATCATATGCATGAACAATCATAGAATTGTATATTGATTAGAAATTTATTGAACTGTTCAATGTCTTTAATGTGACAAAAAATAGATTTGTACCTCTACTGTTGTAATGGATAAAGCCCGGTTATGGTAATGTGACAAAAAATAGATTTGTGACTTTACCGGCAAAAGCTTAATGACAATACATGAAATTAACCCCGGTAACATGTTGAATGGTCTCATGGAGGAACTTTAGGTGACACAATACATAGTACCTACTTGCTGCAGCATTTAAAAAAGGGATGTGTAAATGAAATTTTCCTTTGTAGAAAAGGAATGTGAAACTTTAGTAGGATAGTAAAGTTTCGTCTATAATAAAGGGATGTGTTTTTCTGTCCTTACCGCAAAGGCGATTAGGCGAATATGTGTGAAACAAATGATAAATCCACCTTTGCGATGGTTGAATCTTATTCTTATTTTATTCTCTAATTGCGGAGTAATATATTGTAATCGTATATAATTTAGTCATAAATGACCGACGGTCCTAATGTTGCGTTCTTTTTATAGTGGATACTGTCCTTGTTTCTACAGCAGGTTTGACAAGAAAATGCCAACTACACCCTTTGCTATAGCGTATGAGGATGCAAAATCAACTTATATGTTTGTAATTCGTCTAAAGTGACCAAGTTTAAATGAATTGCGTAATTACCTGTTTGTCACTTGACTCAATTAGTCAAGTTCGAAATGATCCATTAACATATTGAGCGACGTTCCGCAGGGCACAATAATTACAAAGGTATCATTCTTCTAGCCTCAATGGATAAACGATACTATACCTTCCACCTTATTTTATACCACAGTTTTGATTAAATATGAATTAAAAATACTAATTTGACTTATGCACTATTACTGATAATGGAAGATCTACTAGTAAAAGATTAATTGAAACGTTAGTTTGATAGATAAAATCAGAATTAATTTTTTTTATTAACTTTGAAAATTTTAACATTATTGAAATTTATATAAAAATGAATGAAGTTAAACATTTTAAATTTATTTTTAAAATAAAAAGAGCGTGATATAATTGTGACATATAGCAACTTTCTCCAGTGTTCTCTTTTTGTGGAGTATCTTTTTTCCTTCCTTTGGTACGAGCATGATTCATCGTATAAAAACAGTAATCCTAGGAATAGACCTCCCACAGAGTTCACTTATGCCGCAAGTTTTTCTCTGTTTTCATTATTTTCAAGATAGTGACACATGCATAAATGCTTAAGAAAGTCAAAAACCGGTCCATATTCATATACTAATAATTTTTCCTTTTGCCTTTTTAATTTAGGAAAAGGTCCAAATTTGCTTATCTACTATCCAAAATTGCTTCAATGTCACCATCCGTTAGATTTTTTCCCATTCATATTCTTGCCGTTAGCGGAAGTCTTGTATTTATCTTTATTATTAACGGACCCTTAACTTTTGAGTAAGTATACAATTACCTTCAAATTGAAGCTCTGTTAGGGGTTAAGGACAAAAATAAGATTTTTTCTAACAACGACAGTAAGATTAGACCCAAAGTTTAACCGAGGGTAAAGTTGCTCAATTTTCAAATAGTTAAAATGAGGTGAATTTTTCCCTTTCCCCTTTTAGTTTTGGACCAGCATTAGACTCGGTCCTAGTTGCTTTAATATCGCCCAACTAGGAATATTTTTTTGTTTTCCACAGATTTTTATCGCAAAGAATTGCTCATAGAAAAGTTCACACTTTAGAAAAGGCAAACTTGGTGGTTTCTTGGCTTGTAAAGGATGAACATTCTGGAGAAAAAAAGGCACCCTAAGAAGAGTGAAGCAAAGGCAATTAGAAGACAATATTAAAAAGCAAGTATACTATATTAATATGTAAGCACATTCTCTTTAAAGTGATATCTACCTTCTGAGTGGTTGTGGATTTATTACTACACATACTTGTATTCTTGTTTTGGCAGTGAAGTTTGGTTTGAAACTGGTATAGTTGTTTTAACCTCATTTGTTGAGTTTGGTAAAGAAAAAATAAGCCTTATGCATATGGTCACTATATGGTAAACAATATAATATAACAATCTTTTTCATCTTAATTATTTCATTAAATGTGTTGAGAGGATATTCTTTGCTCAACAAAGAAAAAGATCAAAAAAATGCATGGGATTGAGAAGATCAAAGCTGCAAGAGAAATTCTCAAGTGCAATATAGAGAAATCAAGAGAATTAGGAGTAGAAATTGGTGATAGTGGCTGTAGATTGGAGAGTTGTGGGCAGAGGCTGAATTTCTTAGCAGCTGCCCTTAGAACTATAGCATGTAAATGTACATTATACAAGATGATTGGTCGTGATATTGATCGCGCAATTGGTCCTGCTGCATCTGTTATTAAGATATTTGATGTCATTTGTGGACTTGAAAAAACTCTTTCCACTGACCCTTCTGATGATATCTCAGCTTATCTCACCACACTCAAATGGATGGAAGAAGCGCTTGGCCTTCTCACCGATAACTGCAAATTAGTCATTTCTTGGCTTGAAAACAGCAATTGCAATTCCTCTGTTGCTGAAAGTTGGTATGTTATGAATGTGAACAAGTGTTTGAATATACTTAGGCAGTTGCAAGCTACAGAGGAACGTTCTCGTGCCAAAGGTGGAGCGTTGATGGTCGCATTAGACAAGCTGGAAAGTGAATTGGCATCCTCGTTAACGGACATAGCTCCACTGTCTTTGCCTTTGCCAAATGTTATTCAAAATGTGCAAGCTATTATTGATAGATTGGCTGTGAACCATAGATTTGACAAATGTACATCTATTTATATTGAGGTTCGGAGTTCAAATGTGAGAAAAACTTTAGAAGAGCTGGATTTGGACTACCTGGAGGAGATATCATTGACAGAGTTTGACAGTGTTTTGAGTGTAGAGTCTCACATTGACCAATGGCGCGAGCACTTGGAATTCGCAGTGAAGGATTTGTTAGACATAGAACACAGGCTTTGCAATGAAATATTCCAGAAATCAGCATCTAAAGATAGTAGCTGTACGGACTGCTTCGCAAAAATTGCAGTCCAATCTGGGATTCATTCTTTCATCAAATTTGGCAACACAATTACCAGAGGGAAGAAAGAAGCAGTTAAGCTGTTGAAGTTATTGGACATGTTTGCTGCTCTAAAGAGACTACGCTCCGATTTCAACAGACTTTTCAGTGGAAGAACCTGTGGTGAAATCCAGAGCCAAACAAGGGATCTGATCAAGAAAGTTGTGAATGGGGCTTGTGAAATTTTCTGGCAACTTTCTCTTCAGGTGGAACTGCAGAGGACAACTAGTCCTCCGGCGAATGGTAGTGTTCCGAGGCTGGTTAACTTTGTCACTGAGTATTGTAATCAGCTTCTTGAGGATGAATATTGGTCCACACTTGTCCAAGTTGTGGAGATACATCAAGGTTGGAACCACGAGAGCTCCGATAAGGAGCTTCTTCTAAATGAGATGCGAAAAATAATAATGGTAATTGAGCTCAATTTAGAGAGTTGGGCAAAGACATACACGGACGACACTCTCTCCTATCTCTTCTTGATGAATAACCATTGGTACTTATGCAAGTACACGAAGGGAACGAAACTTGGTGAGCTAATGGGACACGAATGGATTAGAGGTCACGAGGAAAACATGGAGTACTACGAGACACTCTATTTGAGCGAGAGCTGGGGAAAACTCCCGGACCTTCTGAGCGAGGAAGGTCTAGTGTTGTTCCCTGGAGGGAGAGCCATTGATCGTCAAGTGGTTAAGAAGAGATTCAAGGAATTCACAGAGGCTTTCGACGATATTTACAAGAGGCATTCCAATTGGGAATTGTGTGATAAGGGGCTAAGATGGAGAGTACGCCAACTCGTATTGCAGGTTGTTGTCCCTTCTTACAGTAGCTACCTAGCAAAATACATGCCCTCTATAGAATTTGAGGTTGCTAGTACTGGTAATCAACACATAAAATACACAGCTGAGACCTTAGGAAATATGATCAGTGGTCTATTTGAACCAAAAGTTGGAAAGTATGGCAGTACTACCAAATGCACAGAATGGAGTGGAAAGCTTAATAATAGTATTGTTGCTAATCACCTTTCTTCCACACCTGCAGCAGCATGAATTAGGAAGCTGATTAGTTTACAACATTACTAGTTAATCCTGAACATAAGGTTGTATATGGTACATGGTTTATGCTTCTCTAGCAAAATTCTAACAAGCTACATCCAAGGAAATCTTCAGTTATGTAATGTAAATATGATGCTAAATCCTATTAGTATAGTTTGTTTTAGCAGCTCAGTTACATGTTGTAGTTTCCATCTTGAACATTCAGAAATTTGATCACTTGGACAAATACTTGTGGTGCTTAGGGTTTAGTTTTATAGTCTATTTGGATGATGTTTGATAGAATAACCAGAACCTCTTCTTTTTCTTCTTTACAATTGCAACCCAAGGATAATAGTTTGTTTCAGTTGGTGCCCACCTTGTAATGTTGGTTTATTAGTTTCAACCACCAAGACATGGACTGGCTCCTACAGTGCATAGCACTTTCTTTCTTTAATATAAAAGGCAAATTTTTAGACGAACAGCCTATGTCGCTCACATCCTCTAAAAATGCCGTTGCACATGTGTAGTAGTTGTTTACCTGTAAAACGGTACAGTTTAATTTATACATGATTTCTAGACAAGTGAATTAATTTGATCCTGAAATAATGAAATAATTAAAGAAATGCACAATACTTAGCCTTGAAATAATGATAAAATCACAAAGAACAATGATTTGGAAGTAGAGCTTCCGGACACAATAATGATGAAACCAATGAACAAGAAAATAAAATTGTATAAATCTTTTTATTGATTATAGGGTAAGTTTACCAGGAAAATCATGTCATTTGAAATGATAACAAAGCTCACTATTTATAGTTGTACTTAGGGAATAAGGTCCTAGGATCATACTCTTCTTTAATGTCAATTATGAGGGCCATTGAAGAAGGTGTAATGGTGAGCATAAATGCTCTGTAACGGGCAACGCACTAAATGCTGTGGAATATTCTCCGTTAAATGCTACCGGGGCGGAGAGTATTTATTGCATCTTTATGAGTATTATTCTTTCCGGTGACAGACGGGACAATTGCCTTCGGTTTTAGCTATCCCCTATCTTAGGTTCCACGTGTCCCTCTTTTTGAACGGCCACGTAGCATAACATATTTTACCCTATACAGTATTATAAGAAAATGCAAGTCGTAACTCAACACCTGTCAAGGAAGTTGAGTAGTAACAATAGACCGTGAACTTTTAATTAATTATATAGAAATCAAGTGATATTTACACAATAAATCAATAATCATCGGCAGTGGCAGACCCAAATTTTTATACAAGCGGGTTCAGACCTTAAAAATAATCGACAGTAAAAGAGATATTGAATTAACAAATAAACATGTTTTACCTAGTGCTTTTTATTTTGGTTCTAACAAAACCTTAAAAGAAAATTTGCATATATATATATAACAACTAATCTATTTACCTTTACAATTTGACAAGTTATTAAACTTCAGAAAATTTTACAAATTTTACTGTAACAAACATAAGTTTGATCTATATTTATAACAATGATAACAAAGCTCACTATTTATAGTTGTACTTAGGGAACAAGGTTCTAGGATCATGCTCTTCTTTAATGTCAATTATGAGGGCCATTGAAGAAGGTGTAACGGTGAGCATAAATGCTATGTAATGGGTAGCGCATTAAATACTATGGAATATTCTCCGTTAAATGCTACCGGGGCGGAGAGTATTTATTGCATCTTTATGAGTATTATTCTTTCCGGTGACAGACGGGACAATTGCCTTCGGTTTTAGCTATCCCCATCTTAGGTTCCACGTGTCCCTCTTTTTGGACGGCCACGTAGCATAATATATTTTACCCTATACAGTATTATAAGAAAATGCTAGTCGTAACTCAACACCANCCCCTATCTTAGGTTCCACGTGTCCCTCTTTTTGAACGGCCACGTAGCATAACATATTTTACCCTATACAGTATTATAAGAAAATGCAAGTCGTAACTCAACACCTGTCAAGGAAGTTGAGTAGTAACAATAGACCGTGAACTTTTAATTAATTATATAGAAATCAAGTGATATTTACACAATAAATCAATAATCATCGGCAGTGGCAGACCCAAACTTTTATACAAGCGGGTTCAGACCTTAAAAATAATCGACAGTAAAAGAGATATTGAATTAACAAATAAACATGTTTTACCTAGTGCTCTTTATTTTGGTTCTAACAAAACCTTAAAAGAAAATTTGCATATATATATATAACAACTAATCTATTTACCTTTATAATTTGACAAGTTATTAAACTTCAGAAAATTTTACTGTAATGAACATAAGTTTGATCTATATTTATAACAATGATAACAAAGCTCACTATTTATAGTTGTACTTAGGGAACAAAGTCCTAGGATCATGCTCTTCTTTAATGTCAATTATGAGGGCTATTGAAGAAGGTGTAACGGTGAGCATAAATGCTATGTAACGGGTAGCGCACTAAATACTGTGGAATATTCTCCGTTAAATGCTACCGGGGCGGAGAGTATTTATTGCATCTTTATGAGTATTATTCTTTTCGGTGACAGACGGGACAATTGCCTTCGGTTTTAGCTATCCCCCATCTTAGGTTCCACGTGTCCCTCTTTTTGGACGGCAACGTAGCATAACATATTTTATCCTATACAGTATTATAAGAAAATGCAAGTCGTAACTCAACACCTGTCAATGAAGTTGAGTAGTAACAATAGACCGTGAACTTTTAATTAATTATATAGAAATCAAGTGATATTTACACAATAAATCAATAATCATCGGTAGTGACAGACCCAAACTTTTATACAAGCGGGTTCAGACCTTAAAAATAATCGACAGTAAAAGAGATAT